GGGGGGGGTTAGCGGTGTGTAATAAAAGGCCTACCCCTAGAGGCATAATTTTACTTCTACGCAAGCAGTCTCAGAGAACTAAAGAAAACGGCTACGGAAGGGGAAAAAAAAAGAAAGAGAGATGCCAGATGGAAAGGACGACAAAGTAATGACAATATTTCTCAAGGAGGTAATCTTGTCCTGGACGGGAAACCAAACGGTAATGATAATGATATGTTTTGCAGCATCCATACATGAGACATTTGATAGAAATTATCTCTGTATGGATCACACCGCCCGCGTACAAGACTCCTTTCATGAGACTTAGTATGGCGAAATCTGCCTACTACCTCTATCAGCTGTCTCAGCCCAGCACTTGATTGATTAATAGAGCTCTATTAGAGATGAGTGCTGCGGGATTCAAATAACGAAATTTGAGAGAACATTTTCTGACGTTTATATATTTGGTTATAATTGAAAAACATACAATTGAATGAAAAGGCAGTCATTGCTTGAGGAATTGTTGGAAAAGGAAACAGTTGTTTTGCTGGATATTTCTCTATGTTATGCCAAAGAAGAATGAGTTGGATACACACGCAACAAGGTGGTTCCCTCTTTTTTTTAAAAAGTCCTAAATCTGTGGGTTTGTTTACAGATGGTTGTACAGGCGTCTGTGGTGCATCGGCAAAGATCGTACATAGCAAAATAGTTCACTCAGCCAAAAAAGTGTCCGAGGAAGTCCGCACATTGGTTTCGATGGCGCTGCAGTCTTTGTTTTCTTTCGTTTCTCCAGAATAAGAATAGGAATAGCACAGTTTGTTAGTTTCACAGTTATTGTTTTTCACACAAGTAGGGTAACTCTGCTCGCAAAGTCCGCACTTTTTCGAAGAGGGCGCCACCAAATTTTGAGGACACTTTTTTAACTGGCTCAAAGAGGAGAGTGAACTATCTTGTTATTAACACCTTCTTTGGTATCGGTTAGGATCTTTGCCGTCGCATGCGGAAGACCTAAGTTCGATTCCTGCTTGGGGAGAATTTTTATCGAGTACCCGGGCTAGAAAATTATAATAGTATGCAGTATACATTCTGGTCA